TGTATATCCTTTGTTTAATGCAATTATTCATTAAAGCTGCTCAATCCGAAACAGGCACATATTATCTTACACAATAAAAGTGCGTCATTACATAGATAATATATAAAATAAATTATGAGATTAATATACATTGAACCCTCAGATATTAATATTTACAATATGTCACGAATATTAATATAGAAAGCACAGAGAAATTCACTTTTACAAGGATACTCACTTCTCACTTCCATTCTCAATGACCGTGTAGTGTAGGGCAGCGTTGTGAGAATTCCATCTGCATCGAAAGCAAGTTTTATTAACTTGCCTAGATAGCCGAGCGGTCTAACGCACTGTTCCTGTACTGCTAGGAGACAGATTCCGTAGGTCGAGAGTTTTTGTTTGGACACTCCATGTAAAAGGATCATTCTTTATAAGGCCGTTTTGCTGCCTACAATGACTTCAAATTTTCAGATAGCATTTTCACCTTAAAGATTCCATGAATCCGTAGGCTTTTGTTCCAATTCAATGATAAATATTGGTTTGTTAAAGATACTATAGTATTTGTCAAGATATATGGTCACAAAGTAAGGCACCATCGATCCGTACTAGCATTAGAGTAATGGGAAAACTCAAGAGGGTCGCTGTGTTAGATAACTCCTACACATGTCATAACCACCTTAAACCAACACCAAAATTTGCATGTAAATTTCTTACAAACATAAAAAATGACCACCAAATTATGAATTTGGTTGAAGGTGGTTATAAATAAGTCTTGTAAATAAAAACTTTTGGCTTCATTTTTACGATATTTGCAGGAAAAGCTAACTACTCATTATGAAGGTTATCAGCTTATTTAGATTATTTCTTTTTATGAACTTTTGGTTAGAGTACAAATTTCTGTTGATTTACTTAGACTCTAAATAAGCGATGCATATTTACTAAAAAATGTCAACTTTTTTAATTAAACAATCTAGATTCAAAGATCTGAGAAGATTGGATGTCGTGAAATTACAAGCGGAGACATTACGTTGAAATGATAGACTATAAGGTGTGAATATGAGTTATATAATGTGAGAAAGGAGGAGAGGTTTCCTAAATGCCTTCTGTGATTGATAATTGAATGTTGCTTTACTCCATTTAAGGATTTTTCACACAGATATTCATTCATTCTTAATTCAGTCTATTTGTAGATTTATTCACATAAGAAAATAAATGAATAAAATGGATTAGTAGTTTATTAATAGTTTATTTAATAATTTTTATTTATTTCTTAGACATTTATCTTAATAATGCATTTACATATAATTCCTTTCAATTATTTTTTATTCATTTAAATTCTTTGGGAAAAAATCCCATGCATAGATTTGATAATATACTCCCAAATGTTTAAATCTAGTTCTTTTACAAAGACAGTTATTACGCTCAAAGATCTTTCAAAGTAGATCAAATAAATAAGTTTATAAATATATATATAAGGTTCATAAAGAACAATGTATATGCCGTCAAACATCACAAGATGAAATAAATTGGTAATTTATTTCTTCTTTAGAATCGATGCAATTCTCTTCTGTTCTCCCCCCCCCCCCGAAATGCTACCAAACTAAAAAAGATCTCATTGATACAAGTTGTAGAAACTAAATTACAAGGATTTAATTAAGGCATTTAAAAATGTGTTAACTTAAAACTAAGTCTATATCTTCAAAAAAAAAATACTTAAAGTTTTCAAGACTATATCATTTTTCACTCTTAAATGCAACAAAAATATAGCTTAAACTCTTTTTTTCGGCCAACATAAATGTCAGGGGACGACAGGGAGTAGACAGGGAAGGCAGGGACAACGACAGGGGACGACAGGGACTGGACAGGGAGAGTAGGGACAACGACAGGGGATCATAGGAGAAAGTCAGGGAGAGACAGGAAAATGTCAGGGACTGACAGGGGGGCCACAGGGGATTATTTGGAATCTAAGGGGATATTTAATTCAGTAGTGAAATCAGTTCTAGCTGACTTGAATATGAAACCATGAAACTGTTCCTATACTTCCTGTGAGATCTTTTAGATAACAATGTTCAACTTCCATGAGTACTTTCAGTACTTTGATTTTATATAAACTTTCATAAAAAAAAACCTTTGTTTCCTGCAATATATATTTCTGAATAGAAACAAATGATCCATGATCTCTTTCTATTTTTGGAAATTGCTCACTGAAATAGTGTTTTGATTCTAATCTAATAATAAAGTATTTTGATGGTTTTTCTCCTTCCTCAATCCACTTAACCTTTGACCTGATACATTGCCCTTGAAAGCTTTTTTCTTATTTCTTTTTTTTTCTGTTTGTTTTTCTGCAAGTTCATTTATTGACTGTTCTGGTACATTTTGTTCCAAATCAAATATTTCTGTTTCTAATTGTTTTACTATTTCATTTGTTTCATTCTTTTTGTAAGTGGAATAAGAGATTGACTTTCCTCTTATTTCCATTAGTAAAATATCGAGAAAAAGTTGATCACCAATAGCAAATTGAATATAATCATTATCTAGACAGCTAATTAAGTCTTTCCATATCATAAACAGGGCAGACATACTGAATTTTGACCTCTTTAATTTCGTTTTAACAACATCCTTATCAGTTAGTAAAGAGTTATTAATTTTCCACAATCATCTTCCTCATTTAATTTACAAAATAACACAACTGGTGAGTGATCAGAACTATAACTATTCTTGTAAGTTACACAAGGAATCAAAGTGAACAAAAATTCTGATATTAAGAAAATGTCAAGCCTAGCTTGTTTAATTGGGTTTTTTCGTCTCCATGTAAATATTTTTAAGTTTGGTTTATTTTCACGATGTACATCCTTTAGGTTTAAAGCATCTATAAGTTCTTCAAGTCGTGATTTTGGATTGTTAAAATTTTTGTAGTTCATTAAATCTAACTCTTTATCAAAAATTAAATTGAAGTCACCTGCACTAAAAATGTGTTGAGAACAATTTATCTCCTCTATTTTATTAAGTTAACTTAAAAAAATTGGGTCTATGAAAATTATGGACCGTTTATATTTATCAGTAAAAAAGGTAAGTCTTCAATGAGAATCTGTCTCCTAAAAGTGCAGGAACAGCGCGCTAGACCGCTCGGCTATCTAGGCAAGTCAAAAACTTGCTTTCGATGCCGATGGAATTCTGGCGGCGCTGTCCTACACTACACCACCCCTACTAATGTGTTCGGAAACTTTTATTTTTCGGTGTTAGGCAAATTATAAAAACCGATGAGTTCAGAGTAGCTCTGGTAGTGGCTCTGGCGAGAGTTAGCGAGACTTAAGTGAGATAGGGTAAATTATTCACGGAAATGTGGCTAGGAAGTGACTAGCACGTGGAGGCATGGTAAACAGAAAAGTTATGTTGCGTTTCAGTTTTCACCAACGTAGAATCAGCTGATAATGTCTGTAGAAATGTACTTCAATCAATCGATCTCTTTTACATTCATTCAAATTTAAATACGTATTTTCTTTAATACAATTTTATGCAGTCTTGAATTAAAATTTCTTTTTGGACAAATATTTTTGCATGGGAACCAGGACTATATTTTTTGGCGTCAGATTAACAAATGAGGCACCAGCATGATTTTAACTGACCAATCAGCTGAATGAGTATTGCATTATGGGTTACTACGAATACTACAGGAATTTTGAAAAAAAGAAAAACCTTATGGTAAATGAAAAGCATTTTTAAAAATATTATTTTCATGCTCATAATGACAAACAATTCATTTGATAAATGAAAAAATAACCATTTTTTCCCCCCATTTTACAACAAATTAAAAACGCCCGTAACATCTTTCATGATTTCTTATCCTTGTATTTTGTTCGTTAGAACATTTTATTTTGCAGTCCATTAACATGATCGTAGATTGACCTGAACTACGTGTTCGAAGTAAAATGTAAACACGTTTTTGGTGTAAACGTTGCTATTCATTCAACGATTGGTCAGTTGCTCGTGGTAAGATCCTCTGTGCGCATTTATAACAATAGCCATATCAGGCAAACAAAGGTTTGTCAGTGTAGATGATTATGCACATTTTTTTTTACCAGCGAATCGGTCACTAGTGAGCTCTAATTTGCGCCGAAAAGTATATAAGATATATTTTAACACCCCCTCCTTTAGCCACCCTTTTTCTGTTGAAAATCGTGAAATTCTTTCAGGAAGGTCTGGAAACATTTATTACAGGACATGTTTTCAAAAGAAACAGGCTATAGCAATATCATGTTTACTGCCAATTTTTATTTATAAAACCGGTTCTACCCTATAACCTTTCAATAGATCAACCTAAACCACGTGTCTTGAATTTAAATCACAATAACATTAGTAGAGGTGTACACGGTCATTGAGAATCGAAGTGAGATACAGATTTTTGGACATTAGTTTTAACAGAGGATTGTAGCCAATACATGTTGTAATGAAATTAATTATTATTTGTACAGCACCTTTTACAACAACTCTTAAACTAACATAACTGCCCTAAGTGAAGAAATATTAATATAGAAAGCACAAAGAAATTCACTTTTACATGGATACCCACTTCCGCCCCAGCCCGGGGTTGAACTTTCGACCTTCGGAATCTGTCTCCTAGCAGTGCATATGCATTTCAGATTCTATAGATAGTAACTCAAGTCTTTATGCTGTTATATACTTAATCATGTGATCATGTTTGATCCAATCAGAGAGCTTGGAATAAATTAAAAGAATACAGTATAATGAATTGCAATCCATAGTAATCATAATTAGAGTTCTAACATTTTAATAATTACATTAAGAATGAACTCGTTAATTTGAGAAATTACATTTCAAAAGCAATACAAACTACCTAGTAATCGATATTACGTATGAAAGTATTCAACCCACGCTTTGATCCCTGTGAATATTTAAGGGGTTCTTCATGGCATTTTTTCTTTTAGGAGTTTGATGAATTCTTAATGATCATATCTTGTGAAGAGACTATTTGCACTGGATTTCTGTTATTCTTTTCGTAGTGATCTTTCCGGAAACCAAATCACCACAATACAGAATAATTCCTTCGCCAGCTTACGCAATTTAAGAAAACTGTAAGTATGTTTTGCACAATTTGCCAACCTAGCCTTTACTAAAAATATCATAACAAATTATCCCATTAAATACATAAATAGAATTAGTATTCTAATAATTGTTGTTTTGTGTATTCTTATGCTTCGAGGCAAGATCACCGCAGTTTGTATTTGTAATTTTGTACAAGAAGGATAAGAAGATAAGAACGGTATCAAAATCAAAGTCCATAAAACAATACAAAATAGGAGCAAAGCAATCATGGACCTCTGAAATATCAGAGGTGGGATCAGGTGCCATGGAGGAGTAAGCACCCCCTCTATTTGTTCTACAGGTGCAGAACAAAACAATTGACCTTCATTTGAATTACATGCCAGAATTTTTCATTTTTACATTGTATGAGAACCAAAACAGTAGTTAAACATTGTCTAACATTTGAACTTCATTCTTGTATGTTACAGATTATATTGAATTATAAAATTTAAGTAATTTTAAGTAAATATATCTATGCAATGCATATGAGCTGTTCTTTAACAGATTTCTGAACAATTTATCCGTGTCTTATGAGTAGCTATCCCTATACAAAGAACTATATGCGGTATTAACCAACATTTGCCCCCCAAAATCAAACTTTGATGGAGTAATATTTAATTAAGTCCTTAAACAGGGGAGTATATGCTGACTTCAAAGCACAGAATAATTTCATAAGTAATGATGTCATATGTACGTAATGACGTCACAAATATGACGTAATTTCAGTTTTTTATGAATTTTGCAGAAAAATGTACATATTTCGTCGATATTTTAAATAAAAGTCACCGAGCGCATGTGTGTTCAGGATAAATATTTTGATATAATGTGTAGAATGATAATATCAATGAAATATGTCAATATTGTTCCTGAACACACATGCGCTCTATAAATTTTAAAGCTTAAATTGTTGAAATTTTGTCCATTTTGTCCTCTTTCTGGAAAAGGATATAAAATCGGACTAGTTTGTGACGTCATAAAAACAGAAATTGTGAATACACTGCTCTGGAACTATAATATTTTCTGTTAACTTATATTTCTCGTACAATTTATTGAATTCAGCACATTTCAGGAAGTTTTCAAAATTTGACTTTTGTGGGGGCAAATATATGCAATATACCGCATATAGTTCTTTGCAAATGATCCAGGCTTACAGATTTACCTTGCTTTGAATTTTTTAATAATATGCTAGTGACAGGGGGCTATCTATCCAGAGCATGCACATTTCTAAATCTGCCTCTTACATTTGTAATCTGAAACATATGTTAATGAATTATCTAGATGTATTTCAACACTTAGTTAAAAAATTAGATTCAATAATTATCACGATTAATGGTTGAGATCTAGTAATTTTAAATTTTTGCAAATTCTACCAAGTGATGAGTGATAGTGCTCTTGAGAAGGACATTTGATCCGTTATAACTCTTAACTTTTTATTTTGTTATACAACTTTTAAGAGCGTCTTTCAAAATTGTAATTTTTAAAGATTTGTATCAGAAATTCAACGATATTAAACAACCCAATAATACTTGCAAAACAACTGTTTTTTTTTTTAACGGTAGGACCCAATAGGTATACATTAACTCCATGAAGTATGCCTTTTAAATGGAGGAAACTACCATATGCGTCTGTACCGGAAAGTATAAATGAGTTTTACAAGGTGAAGGATAAAATTATTATGCTCTAAAGCATTTTGAATAGGATGTAAAATTCCTAGATTATAATTAATTAATAACCCTGTAATATTGTTGTCCATTGATAAGTCGGTTCTAAAGTTCAGAATTTACTGTAAGTTCAAAAATATGGATTTCACAAATACAAATTTCACATGTATAACTTGGAACAAATTTCTTAGATGAAACAACCTGAAATTCACAAATGATTTTCCTAGATTGACTCACTTACAAATTCACATCTTATCTTTGACAACTCCACCCACTTTCGTACTGACCGTCCAATTAAATTAATGACTCCATATGACATTGATTTACAACACTAAGTAGAGCTATAAGCGTAACAAATTCAAAGAACACAACCCTAAGATCTAACCCTAAAGAAGAGAGGCGTATAAGGCGGGCAGAATGCCTATAGCACGACAGATAAGAAGTGAAAAAATTTAATCTCAATTATATCCAAATTGTATGTCATATCTCATCTAGTATTAGAGTATACTTAATGTAAAATCTTTATAATTTATAAAAATCTCACAAAAACTGAAAATATTTGCCTATGAAAAAGCATACACAGACTTAAAAGAACAAAAACGATCATTTTTTCATACTTTAACAAAAATTTTCAATGTGAGTGGGTCTTCGCTCCATTTTTTTGAAAGATAATCCTTAAAGTTTGCGATAAAATACATGTTTTTAGTTTACTAAAAAATGGAGGGAAGACCCACTCTACCTTAAAAATACACTTTTATGATAAAATATTCGCATCTTTCCAAGAAATACTGCAAGTCCATTAAGTCAAGGGTCATATCACAAACATGATTTAAATGCCACTACAACACATCAGCCATGTAGCCTAGTGGTTAGCGCGTTAGTCTCAAAAGCAGTCTGACACATCGGTATTTTATTGCTGGGGTTCGAATCCCAGGAATAACATGGAATATTTTTATAAATGAAAATTTCTAAAGAAATTTATTTTCTCTCAGAAAATTTTTTTTTCCTCATAATTTCATAAATCTTAAATAATGAGATGTAAATTTAAATACTCAATTAACATATCAAATGTGATTTCTTAATATCTGACGCTATAGGCATTCTGCCCGCCTTATCTGCCCATCTTCTTTACAAGTCTGAGTAAATGACATTGATATTGTGACACAGGAAATGGAGATGTCAAGAATTAGATATTGTTACCATGTACACAAATGCCTGTTCTAAAATCTAATGAAAACAGTTTATGTCAATTGTATTACAGTAATATACTGATAATAATTGATTGTGACACATGCTGGGAGGATCTGTTCTGACTAAATTCTACATGTACCAGGATTCTACCAATTTGAAAAAAAAAGAAAAATGAAAGAAATGATGATAAATCAAAAGTAATCTATTAGCTACATTACAGAGGAATAAAATACCACTTGTATAGGAGATAAATTAAATGTACCACTATTTATGTTAAAACTTTACTGGCAGACCAAGGCAACATAGCAGCTCTGTTTGTTTCAAAATTTCATAACAGAAGACGTGTTCAATGTAAAAATCTTGTCATTTATTTCAATAACGAAAAAATGAAATCCATTTATAAAAACAATTACCAAATTTGGCTGGACGACATACCAGAATCATGGAAAGCTTGATAAGAAATGCAGTTCAATTCAATGTTTACAAAACAGTGGTCTCCCAGCCATAATATTGTTACAACACACAGATGTAATAATGTAATGAAATACAACATCAAACTTTATTGGAAACAGAAGTGGTGTATAAAAAGCGCCATCTACCAAAAGCGGATTGATAAACCTTATTTTGTATTTTGTCTAAATGAATAATTACTACATAAAATCGAAACTATTGTCATTATGATTACGGAACAAAAGTACAAATTATTATAGTATTTCCACAGAAACGAGCTAACAAAACTGCCTATGTTATTATGAATACTTCGAAAATATTAAATAGCTTGACACTGAAATTCATATCCTTGCTTTTAATACACAGATTTGCTCACAATTAAGTTTTATTTATATGACCTTTCCTATTCATAGCCTACTCAAAACATATGCAAACCATGCTTCGCCCGTTATGCAAATTATCCCATGTGCCCATTACTGTTGATGCGTATACAAACTAGACAGTGATTCCTTAATCAAAGTCCATAAAACAATACGAAATAGGAGCAAAGCAAACACGGACATCCGAAACAACAGAGGTGGGATCAGGTGCCATGGAGGAGTGAGCATCCCCCGATGTGTGCTCCTTGTCATGATCGGAAATAACAGGAAAATTTTTCGTCAATTCAGTGTATAAATAATGGACTAGCAATTATTATTTAAAAAAGTCAGTCAGCATTTGACTCAATGATAAATTGTATTAGCTGACATTAAAAGCCTGACAAGGTCATTGTATTGACAATAGAACTTACGAAAAGATAATTTTAAACAAGACTGCTGATCTTATTTCCTTTTAGATCGAGCACTGCTTCAAACAAGCCAAATGATACCCTCGTTGCATTAATTTATTTGTCGATAGCGTGTCTCGTTAAGATATATTTCATTTGTAGAGCCTTTAATGTTAGCTAGCAACATACTAAAGCTAGAACCTTTATAATAAACGTGATGATTTTCAACTTTTCAACCGTCGTTGAAAGACCTGTTAATATTTCAAAACAAATTTTACAACCTATTTTTGTCTATATGATAACGACGTTAGCCTTCACCCTCTAATAAGTAATTTAAAACTAATTTAGTTAACTTTGGAAACTGAAACGCAAGTTTAAACTTTTCAAAAGCAACATAATAGCGAAGAAGATATTTATGTACAATTGCCAGTGTAAATTCAATTCTATAAAATAACTGATATATAGAACTTCTCATTCTTAACATATCCGTACACTGTGGTGAACCAAGCTCACAGTGATTGTATTATCGCAGCATTCCGAAAAACTCCCTTCACTCTCAATTTTAATAATCAACAAGACAAGAGGTATGTTTCACTTTGCCACTAATGTGACTTTAATTATAGAAAATACTTGCAATTAACCATGTAATACTTTGCAATATATTTTTCACAATGATTGTCAAAAAACTAAGGAAATACACTTTAAAGATAATTACGATGTAAGTTTCACCTAAGATTTTCGTATGACCAACATTCATTTCAAATTTGTGATTGTGACTTTATATTTCAAATTTCCTTTACAATCGATATCATATATCGATATATATATATATATATATATATATATATATATATATATATATATATATATATATATATATATATATATATATATATATATATATATATATATATATATATATATAT